CCCCCCCCCCCCAGTTCATCTTGATTTTACATAAACAACACCTGTTGTTAGCTCTCTGAGTTCCCCTAGCACTTTCTCAATATTTCCATTAAGGAACGAGGAAGAATGTAACTATTTTTATTCTTCCTTTCCCTTCTAGCCTATATGCTCTTTGAGGGCAGACTCTGTACCAAAATCATCTTTGGGCTCAATATTATGAGGTATAAGGATCTTGCACCTGGTCGGTGTTCAATAAATACTTGTTCTTTGAATATCAGCTCAAATTCATTCATTCATCAAACATGGATTTGCCTGCCATTTTATAGGCACTTGCTAGAGACTTCAACAATGAATGAGACCTGGTTCCTACCCTTGAGGACATGGCCAAATAAAGAAATGCAAATGAAGAGGCTGTATATTCAAAGTATGGTGGGTACAAAAAAGAGGAGGGAGCAGACAATAACTTTTCTAAGTAAAGAATTAAAACTGGACACTTCATTAGCAGAATAAATGTTTTTTAAAAGTGTCATGTTTTGAAATAGTATGCTTATGATGATGTTGTTAAGTGCCTTCAAGCTGATTCTGACTCATAGTGACCCAACGTGACAGACTAGTACCGCCCACAGGGTTTTCTAGACTGTATTCCTTTATGGGATGAGACTACCACCAGGTCTTCCCTGTGGAGCTACTGGATGGGTTCAAACCATCAACCTTTGGGTTTGCTGCAAACCATTGTGCCACCAGGGCTTCTTCATGCAGATGACGGTAATAATCATTTATTAGTGTTTACTAAATGCCAGGCATTGCTCTCAACACTTTAGCTGCATTACCTTCCTAGCTATTCTCATCACAACCTTGTTAGCTGTGTACTAATGTTAGTCCCATTTTACAGGTGAAGATAGTGCTGCTAGAAGAGATGAAGTAACTATCCCAGTGGTCAGGAGGGCAACTGCAGGGAATGGATGGACTGTTCCTAGGGGCTGCCCTGGGCCTGGGAAGGAAGGCGGCATCAAATGAAGTACCTCTGTGGGTACTGCCGGGTTGTGCCCCTCAGGGCAGCCCTCACCACC